CCCGGAGCCCCCCAGCCCTGACCCCCATTCCCAATCCCGTTTCCCATTCCCATTCCCATTCCCAGTTCCCTTTCCCAATCCCATTTCCCGTTCCCAATCCCGTTTCCCGTTCCCATTCCCCATTCCCAGTTCCCATTCCCCTTTTCCATTCCTGTTCCTGTTCCCCACTCCCGTTCCCCATTCCCATTTTTCCCCATTTTTTTCCCGTTTTCTCCCCGTTTTTTCCCGTTTTCCCCATTTTTCCCCCCATTTTCTGTCCCTCACTGTAATCCCGCAGCCGTCTCTCGTCCTGCAGCGCGCAGCCCTGGCAGATCAGCCCTGCCCCATCCCAATTCCTGTTCCCGGGTTATTCCCGGTTCCCATTCCCATTTTTCCCCGTTTTTCTCCCGTTTTTTCCCATTTTCCCCATTTTTCCCCCCATTTTCTGTCCCTCACTGTAGTCCCTCAGCCGTCTCTCGTCCGGCAGCACGCGGCCCTGGCAGATCAGCCCTGCCCCATCCCCTGGTCAATCCGCGGTTATTCCCGGGTTATTCCCTGTTCCCGTTCCTGTTTTTTTTCCCGTTTTTCCCCCATTTTTCCCGTTTTCCCCATTTTTCCCCCCATTTTCTGTCCCTCACTGTAATCCCGCAGCCGTCTCTCGTCCTGCAGCGCGCAGCCCTGGCAGATCAGCCCTGCCCCATCCCAATTCCTGTTCCCGGGTTATTCCCGGTTCCCATTCCCATTTTTCCCCGTTTTTCTCCCGTTTTTTCCCATTTTCCCCATTTTTCCCCCCATTTTCTGTCCCTCACTGTAGTCCCTCAGCCGTCTCTCGTCCGGCAGCACCTCACTATAGTCCCTCAGCCGTCTCTCGTCCTGCAGCGCGCGGCCCTGGCAGATCAGCCCTGCCCCAACCCAATTCCTGTTCCCGGGTTATTCCCGGTTCCCATTCCCATTTTTTCCCCGTTTTTCTCCTGTTTTTTCCCGTTTTTTTCCCATTTTCCCCGTTTTTCCCCTCACTGTAGTCCCGCAGCCGTTTCTCGTCCTGCAGCGCGCGGCCCTGGCAGATCAGCCCTGCCCCATCCCAATTCCCGTTCCCGGGTTTTTCCTGATTCCCATTCCCATTTTTCCCCATTTTTTTCCCATTTTTTCCCCGTTTTTTCCCGTTTTTTTCCCATTTTCCCCGTTTTTCCCCTCACTGTAGTCCCGCAGCCGTTTCTCGTCCTGCAGCGCGCGGCCCTGGCAGATCAGCCCTGCCCCATCCCAATTCCCGTTCCCGGGTTTTTCCTGATTCCCATTCCCATTTTTCCCCATTTTTTTCCCATTTTTTCCCCGTTTTTTCCCGTTTTTTTCCCATTTTCCCCTCACTGTAGTCCCGGAGCCGTCTCTCGTCCTGCAGCGCGCGGCCCTGGCAGATCAGCCCTGCCCCAGCCCCTGGTCAATCCGCGGTTATTCCCGGGTTATTCCTGGGTTTTTCCCCGGTTCCTTTTCCCATTTTTTCCCCGTTTTTTTCCCATTTTCCCCGTTTTTCCCCCCATTTTCTGCCCCTCACTGTAGTCCCGCAGCCGTCTCTCGTCCTGCAGCACGCGGCCCTGGTAGATCAGGCGCTGCTTCTCGGCCGCGATGCTGACGGCGCCGGCGATGCGCTGCTTGAACTCGCGCACCGAGATCTGCCCGGGGCACCGGGGGGAAAACGGCACCGGGGGGTAAAAATGGCACCGGGGGGGTAAAAACGGGACCGGGAGGGGTCAAACTGGTACCGGTGGGGGTCAGACTGGTACTGGGAGGGGTAAAATCGGTACCGGGAGAGGCGAAAATGGTACCAGGACAGGTCAAAACGGTACCGGGGGTGTGAAAGTGGTACCGGGGAGGGTGAAACCGGTACCAGTAGAGCTCAAAACGGTACCGAGAATATCACACCGGTACCGGGGAGGGTGAAATCGGTACCGGGAGGGGGTGAAATGGTACCAGGAGGGGTTAAAACGGTACCGGGGGGGTGAAAATGGTACCGGAGAGGTCACACCGGTACCGGGAGGGTCACACCGGTACCGGGAGGGTCACACCGGTACCGGGAGGGTCACACCGGTACCGGGAGGGTCACACCGGTACCGGGAGGGTCACACCGGTACCGGGAGGGTCACACCGGTACCGGGAGGGTCACACCGGTACCGGGAGGGTCACACCGGCGCGCCTGCAGCGCCGCCGCCGCTACCGGGGCCGTTGAAAGCGGCGGAGCGGCCGCACCGGCGTCAGGCGCCCGCCGCGGGCAGCCCCGCGTGTGGGGATTTAAAGGGGGGGGGTTGGGGGCCTCAGCGTGAGGCGCACGCGCGCAACGCTGCGCGCCGCCATCTTAGCGGGGGCGCCGCAGACGGCGCGGCCATCTTGGTTGAGGGCGCCGCCATGTTTGGTGAGGGCGGGGCCTATCCGTACGCCCCGCCCCTCCCGGCCCCGCCCTCAGGAAATTGACACCGCCCGCGGCCACAAAAAAATCGCTTTTATTTATCTTTACTTATACTTTTTTGTCTTTATTTATTTATCTTTAATTATCTTTGTTTATATTTATTGACCACAAAACCGCGGGGGGAGCGCGCGTGGGCACGGCTGGCGGCGGTGGGCGGAGCCTCCGTAAGCTGTAGGCGGAGGCCGAGGGAGCGATAAACCACAGTGGGCGGGGCTTCAAAGGGTGAAACCGGTACCGGGGGGGGTCACACCAGTACCGGGGGGGTGACACCGGTACCGGAGAGGTCACACCGGTACCGGGGGGGTCACACCGGTACCGGGAGGGGTCACACCGGTACCGGAGAGGTCACACCGGTACCGGGAGGGTCACACCGGTACCGGGAGGGTCACACCGGTACCGGGAGGGTCACACCGGCACCCCCGGCGCCGCCCTCACCTCGGGCTCCACCTCGAAGCTCCTGGTCTGCGAGTCCAGCGTCTTCACCAGCACCTGCAGCACCTCGGGCCGCTCCTCCGCCATGGCGGCGCCGCGCGGGCCCGCCGAGGCCCCACCCGCCTCTCCTGAGGGGGCAACGCCGTCACGGCGGGGCTGCCCCCGGCCCGGGCCCCTCCCCGCGCCCCCCGGGACCCCCGGGACCCCCTGCCCTACGCGCTGCCCCCCGGGCTGCCCCCGCCCGCCTCCCCCTCGGGCGCCAGCCGGCATTTATGAAGTATTTACATAAATTATCACATAGCAACATACATAAAATACACAGCATTCCCTATAGGACCCACGCAATGCAGAACATCCCCTATAGGATCCATACAACACAAATAATCCCCTATAGGATCCATACCATGCACAGGACCCCCTATAGGACCCACGCAATGCAGAGCATCCCCTATAGGACGCACAGCGTGCCCTATAGGGCGTGTAGGGGCCGGCGTGTGCCGGGGCCGCGGCGGATGCCCCGCAGGGTCCCCCGGAGGGCAGGGTCCCCTACGGGATCCATACGGCCCCGGCCGTAGGTGACCCCGGCCTTGCTGTGGCCTCGGCCCCGGGGGCAGCGCACGGGACAGCGCCCCCCGCTGGGGAGCGGGGCCCTGGAGCGCCTATGGAGCACCTATGGATCCCCTATAGATCCCCTATAGGTTATTGATGGGACCCCTATGGATCCCCCATGGATCCCCTATAGATCCCCTATGGATCACCCATAGAACCACCTGGGGCTCCCCTACAGATCATCAATGGGACCCCTATGGATCCCCTATAGATCCCCCATGGGTGCCCTATAGATCCCCTGTGGACCCCCCACAGGAGCCCTATGGATCCCCTATGGAACCACCTGTGGATCCCCTATAGATCATCGATGGGACCCCTATGGATCCCCCATGGGCCCCCTGTGAGTTCCCTATGGAACCCCCTATGGATCCCCCCTGGAATCCCCCACAGACCCCCAGCGAATCCCCCATGGATCCCCTATAGATCCCCTATAGGATCCCAAAGATCCCCCCCCCCAAAAAGAGCCCCAGGAGGGGCTGGGCGGCACCTACAGAGCCCCTATAGAACCTCAGCGACCCACATAGGGCCCCCACATCCCCTATAGAATCCCCGTGTCCCCTATAGACCCCCAATGTCACATATAGGGCCCATAAACCCCCCCCCAACGTCACCAACCCCCCAACGGAGCCCCTATAGACCCCCAGTGTCCCCTATAGAACCTTAATATCCCATATAGGGCACCCACGTCCCCTATAGACCCCCCGAGCCCCCCTA